CTTCTCACTGCAAAATCAAGTCAGGTACAACCACACTGGCAGCAAAAACCATGCCACAATCTTCTCTCTGATTTTTCTCTGGAATCTGGTACAAAGGATCAGAAGTCAGGCCATGCCCTTTGAAAAATGAGAAAATTCTGAGTTGTGAAACAACCATTGTAGTTAAAGACAACTGGCTTCTTAATAGTTAGTAATTTCCTAATTTTCTTTTCCCCCCTTTTCCTCCCATTTAAATACATCAAAACATTTAAGTACAAAGAGAATCAGAATAAAATATTAAAGAAGTCTTAGCTTTCATCAAAGTCTGACCTCTTTTTATTTTTGATAAAATTTTTACCTTATTGTAGGCACTAAAACCTAGTGGGATTTTAGCTACTGGAAATAATGAGAAGTTTCAAATCCTGTAGATTTTTGCTTGATATAGGAAAATAGCACTTTTTTGTGTGTTTAGGCAGTATAACACTCTGAACTATTTTAAATTTAGAAGCAATGAGCCTACATGACTCTATTATGTGGTATAGCACCATTTATGTGTTTTTGTGTGTATGTATGTACATATGTATATATGTATCAGCATTAAATACCTTTTGATATCTTACTTAAAGCGAGAATCTGCAATGAAATGTGGAAAAAGTGTAGGAATCCTATAAGCTGTTTGCAGCTTACTAGGATAATACTTGCTAGGTATGAAGCACGTTCCCTATAAGGACCTTTTACTGCCTAAGCATGACCATATTATTATCTCAAATATTATGTTACCTGGTGGCTAAGTATCACAAATTGCAGATAAGATTGCTGAGACACAGGCAAATACATGCCTGCAAACTATACAAGACCAGAAATAAAAATGTATCTTTCATTTGTAAAAGATGTTATAAATAAATTGCAAATGCCTTTGCCTTTCACTAAGACTACTACCACCTCACAAGAAGTGCTAGGTAGGATAAAGGTCATTAACAGTTAAAAAGTTTAATATCTAAAAGTCATCAGGAGTGTTGCCTTGAGGTGTCTCATTATGTTATTTTAAAATTATCTTCTGTGAACTTCGGGGCTAAGAGTAGTCCCAGTTTTGCCCATGCCATGTGTGTGGATGCGTGTGCACACTGGCATGTAAATAATGCAATTTTCGTTGGAGGGAATATATAATTAAGCATAGTAGCAGTCAAAATGAAAATTAGAGGTCTTGCACGGCATATGCAGAAGCTTCTCGGGAAAGCATTGTAACTCACTGTTCCTGTCAAGCAAGGGAACGTGCCTCTTAATTTCTCCTGACAGAAAACTCTTCTCCATCAGCAGCCCCAGAAAATGACAAAACAGCCAAACCAAGAAGGAATGACTGCCAGAAACCTGCATTGCCACTGCAATACGGGAGACTGGGAAAGGAGGGATATGCTGGAGGAATTTCAGAAAAGGAGAAAACTTATCCTGCTATCTGTTTCATCCCACCAGTAACCTTGATGTTCCTGCAAAACCCTGACTGATGGAGGAGCAGTCAAGGCATGACCCTTTAAGAATTCATTTGGGCCAGAGTGTACCTGATCACTGAATTCTAAAAGAATAATTTATTTTCTTGAATCTGGATAGTGTGCAGTTCTTTCACAGAGTTGAAGCTGAGACAGACATCTTTGTAAAATCTACATGTTTTAAGAGATAGAAGCAGTTCAGTCAGGTCCTGTGCTACATGTTTGAACCTGGAGAAGTGGTGATCACATGTGAAGCTTCTGTCTGTGCAGTTTCTTAAAAGCATTGCCCTTTCTGCTAAAAAAAAAAAAAAAAAAGATTGTTGATTTTTTTGCTGCTTGTTATGGTATTAATGCTAAAACTTAACAACAAGAAGTTGTGGTAAATTGTCAGGTTTCTGAACTGATCACCATTTTCTTCACATTCAGAGCACTGTATGTCAAATGACCCATCAGGTAGACATTTATGGCAACATTTATCATTAGATTAATAAGTACATATTACTGGGCTGCTTTTTTTTCTTTTATTTTTTTTCCGTTTATAAACCAAAATTACCACAAGATGGAGATTTTAATACTTTGTTATGGTCACTGCTTATTTGTGGAACCCTTGCACCAAGTAATTTTCCCAGAATAAAAGTAAAGAATTATTTTCCAAGTCAGAGAGGCAGAGATTGATAGCATATATTTAAGTAGACTACCTCTGGTAAATATGTTAGTATTGTAACTTTTTATATAAATATATTACAATGGAACAGATTCATATTACACTGAAATTACAGTCATATAGAGGACTGCATAATTCATTCTTCTGTATAAATGGTTCTAGTTCTCATGTTGCGAAGATAATTTTCAGACTGCGAGCTGGGTGCCAACTGATGCTGTGATGTCTGCTTAAGCAGTCAGGCAGCCTGGAACTGGAGCCTGCGGAGTTTTGAATGTCTCCATTTTGGTGGGGATTAGACTCTGCAGTATGAGTGTGTCTGCTCTAATGACATACAAGGAAAATGAAGATTTCCTGACGGTATGTTTGCTTTTGTGTCTTGTTGAATGTTTTGACATATAGGGAAGTAGTCCATACTGGAATAACCCAGGGCTTCCGAGAGTTGCTGAAGTGATGCTGGTGGTGAAATCTGTTTCTTGAACTTAGGTAATTTAGGTATGTGATGCGACTTCAGTTGTTTTGGAGCCAAGCTACTGGCTGAGAGCTCTCTCATAGGCATTAAATTCCTGCCTAGTATAATAGATTTTCCTCACTTGGCTTCAGAGATGTCAGTGATTCGAAGAGTTAAGGAATGATAAAACTCGGTGTCTAGCTCTTTCAGGTAGAATGAATTTAGCAAGACTTAACTGGCTCTAGGGAAGAAGGAGCCAAAAAAAAAAAACTCACCTTCCTCTTCAGACATATTCAGGAAGGTAACACATTTAGAAAGCAACCTAAACGCTGTTGTACCATCCCAAATTTTAGAATCCATCCCAATAATCCTGTAAAAAAAAAACTGAATTTAGATAAGAAATCATACTAGGTTTTAGCCGTTATACTGTGGTTTGACTGTACAGTGTAATCCGTAGATTTTTTTTACTTGTGCAATCTGGCTTTTAAAAATCTGTAATAAAACTATTTACTAGTAAATAAATA